GAGTGAATGGATGGATGGATGGATGGATGATAAGTGAATGGATGGATGAGTGAGTGGATGGATGAGTGAGTGGATGGATGAGTAGATGAATGGATAGATGAATGGATGGATGGATGGATGGATATGAATGGATGGATGGATGAGTGGATGGATGGATGGATGAGTGAACGGATGAGGAAGAGGCAGGGCGCTCTCTGTTTTATTGACATTCTTCTCTCTCCTTCTCCCTTTTCTGGGGGCGGCAAAGTCTGCCGCATCCAGTCCTTCCAACTCCAGTTCCAGCTCCGACTCCAGCTCCGACTCGGACTTCGAGCCCTCTCAGAACCACACTCAAGGTGCGTGGCCTTTGGTCGCTCGGCCCTTCCCACGACTCCAGCCTCGGATGAAGCCTGAGGGGCAGGCCGCTCTCAGCTGACGCAGCCTCCCTCTCCGCACAGCCCGGCCGGCTCTGAATGCTGAAAGGGGCCCTTAAAGCCCCTGCCTTGTCCAGTGGGGGTGGGGGGCGTCACAGCCCCTGTCTGGCCCCCGAGAGCCTGGTCCTCCCGCAGGGCGATTCGGCACCTGGATCTCTTAGGTCAGCGGACTTCAGTTCCCAGGATTCTGGCCAGAGTTTGCCCCAGCTTCAAGAAAGCCACCCTCTTCTTGGCCTTCTCTGCCGATGTGTGCCGGGGAGAAAATTTCTGTCATTCGTGGCCTCCAGAAGTCACAATGATTGTTCCTTGGGGGGGGGGTTGAAAGAGGGGTCCAAGAGTCCGTCTTCTTTAAGAACGAACAGAAGGGGAGTGAGCGCAGCACCGCCCACCTCCAGACAACTCCACCGCCCCTTCGGCAGTTGCCAGAAGGCTCCACCACCCCCCGTTTGCACCACTCAGGTGACCCCGAGGACACAGGTAAAAAAAAAAACTCAACGGCTCTCCGAAACAGGATGCAAATGACCAGCTTTGTCTGCAAGGAGTATAAATCCCCTCCCTTTTCCCCACCATCCGGTCAGAACCGAAGAAGCTTCTTGGATGAGGAGAGAAATACCGTCAAGCAAAAACAAAGAAAGTCCAGTTGCCGCTTATTTTATTTTTTTTCTTATTTTTTTTTTTTAAAAAGCAGCACCTTTGGGACTTCGCTTTGTTTCGGTCCTTGTGAAAAGGAGCCTTAAGGTTCCGCTGTGAGAGGCAGTCAACGCTTTGCTGGATTTGTTCACGTCTTCCAAGGAAAATTTCCTTCCAAGGAAATTTCTCTGGGAGGTTAATTTCTCTTTGTGAGCCAGGCCCCTTTTTGGAATCCAGTTCTGCCAAAACTGCCAGCGCTCCTCAATGTCAAAAGTCTTCTGTGATTTCCTGCCAAGGGGCATTCTTTCTTTCTTTCTTTCTTTCATTCATTCATTCATTCATTTGCTAAAGTCACTTGTCCCAAAGATACTTTTTTTTTTTTCTTCAAGAGGCAAAAAAAACCTGGTTTTTTTTTCTTTCGGAGACGTCTCCCTTCTCGTCCCTTTGGGATGGCTGACAGTGAGAACCATGAACCAGCAGGACGACTCCAGAAATTCTGAAGGCTCCAACATGGGGAGTACTTTCTAAGAAGAGAATTGTCGGAAACGGTACAAAAAAAAAAAAAAAAAAAAAAAAAAAGCACGAGAAACCCCCCAGGGGCCCTTTCCATTTTTTTTTTTTTATGTTTTACAAGGGGGGGGCGGGGGGGGGGGGGGGGGGGGGGGAGGGCAGACCTTGCTCTGGAGCAGGGCTCCCCAAACTTGGAGAATTCTGGGAGTTGAAGTCCACAAGTCTTTAAAAAGTGGCCAGGGTTGGAGACCTGTGCTCCAGAGCAGTGGGATGAGGCGGGGGTGGGGGAGATGACGGCAGGAGCGGCGAGAGCGAACGGTTTCGTGCAGGCCCGTCACTTTTCACAGGTGCAGCTTCGTGCTCGCCCGCCAGCCCACCCACCCCTTCCGCCGCCTGGTTCCCGACGGGCCGTGGCCCATCACCAAGCTGCAGCCTGGGAGTTAGGATGTCCCAAAGGACGGGCGCTGCAGCGGAAAAAGTGACCTTCCTTTATTTAGGAAATCACACAAGAGTTGGATGTTAAGGAGCACCAGTTGTTTTGACAGGCCTGGGTTCCAATTGGAGCTGGCCGATGACGATAAACTAACCTCCCAAAGGTGCTTTTTTTTCCAAAGCCAACTGGGACACGACCCCTGAAGTAAAGGCAAGGATAGGGAAAGCTCGAACGGCGCTCTTCAGAAGGAAAAAGGGCCTCTTGCAGTCCCGCCATAAGCCTAAGATTGAATCCCAGGCTTGCCAGATGCTCTACGGATCTCTACAAATGCTCTACGGAGCAGAGAGTCGGACTCCTTGAGAGAAAGCCACTGGAAGAGACTCCCAAGCATTTGAAATGTGGATGGACAGGCGGTTGCTACGTAGAAGTCGGGTTGGCAAAAAGCAAGAAACGAGGAGGTGATGAGCCACCTGGGAAAGCCAAGGGAAAATCATCAAAAATCACCCAAAAGCGAAAAGTTGGAATATTTCAGGCATGGGATGCGACCCCTGGAAAAAAAATACAGCACCCTTCACTTCCTCCTCCGGGGAAAAAGTGACGGCAAACGAGCTCCAAGCAGCAGAAGGATATCACGGCTTCGAAATCTAATTTTTGTCCGGTTTAGACAAAACTCAGCAGCCCCTTTTTTTGTGTGTGACTGTTGATAAAAAATAGGATCACCCACGTGACTGCCAACATCCGACGATATATACAGCAGGAGAAGAAGGGGAAGGAGGAGGAAAAGAGAGAAAGAAAGAAAAATAAAAAGAATAGGGTGAGGCGGAGAAGGATCAGAAGACGGAAAAAGGAAAAGAGGAGGAGAAAGGAAAGGAAGAAAAAGAAAGAAAGAAAGAAAGAAAGAAAGAAAGAAAGAAAGAAAGAAAGAAAGAAAGAAAGAAAGAACCAACCTGCAGATGGTTGGATCTTTGCTGCCTCCAGAGACCAAGAATACCGGGAACTTTTCTGCCCAGGAAAAAGATTTGCAGAGAAGGCTAACAAGCGGGGTGGAAGAGGCAGGTTTGCCAAATCTTTGCCATACCCAACCAGGGCGATCGGTAAACCTGGCAAAGGGGGAAACTTCATAGCACTGACTCGATCATCCTTGGCGGGGTTCCCCCCCCCCCAGATGCCAGGGCAAAAGGACCCAGCCTTCCAAGAGTACCCAGGCCGCCCTCAACTTACGGCCGCCATTGAGCCCAAAATGTCTTTCGCTAAACGGAGACGTTGGTTAAGGGCTTTCCTCCCTGTTTTGACCACCGTCCTTGCCATTCGTTGGCAAGAGAGAAATCGCAGCCGTGGTTCGGCCGGTCACGCGGCCGCTTAGCGAACCTGCCTGTCCCAGTCGTCCGAAGGTCGTGAGCCCTGGGACACCGCAAACGTCATCAAAGGCGAGTCGGTGGCCAAACGTGTGAATCGGTAGCTCGGACTGCCCTCCGAAGCGGACTGGTGCACCGTGGCAGCGTAGGGGGTGTTTAACCCCCACCCCCAAGGCCTCCTCCCCAAAGACTGCTCTCGGGGCCGCGCCGGGGTTCCGAACAGACTTCAAGGGTGGGCCCAGGTGGAGCATTGCGCCAAGCTGCCTCGCCAGCGGGCGTGAGGGCGCAAAGGCAGCCGGGCCACCTGCGCCCAAGCCCTGAAAAAGGACCCCACTCGGGCTACCCTGGGTTCCTCCCAGCCCCCAACCCCCTCCTCCTTCTCCCCCTTTGCGTTTCTTTTTCCCAACGGCTGGGCTTTCTCCTCACAGGGCCGCTGCGTTCCATGGTGGAGGACCTGCAGTCGGAAGAATCGGATGACGATGACAGCTCCTCCGGGGAAGAGGTGGCGGTGAAGTCCACCCCCATCAGCAGAGAGGCCAGGTGAGACTGGGGAAGGTGGAAGGGAAAGTGGAAAGTGGAAAATGGGATGGGATGAACAAAATAAGGAATAGAATAGAATAGAATAAAATAAAATATAGAATAGAATGGAAATATAGGATAGAATAAAAGAATAGAACAGAGCAGGACAGAATAGAATAGAAATAATAGAATACTGGAACGAAGAAAAGAATAAAATAGAAATAATAAGAACAGAGCAGAATAGAATAGAAAATTAGAATAGAAGAGAAGAGAAAATAGAAGAGAAATATAGAAATATAGAATAGAATAGAGTAGAAGAGAAAATAGAAGAGAAATATAGAATAATATAGAAATATAGAATAGAAAAATAGAATAGAATATAGAAATAGAAGAGAAGAGAAATATAGAAGAGAAAGTAGAAAAGAAAATTGGAATAGAACAGAAAATAGAATAATATAGAAATATAAATAGAATAGAAAAATAGAATAGAATATAGAAATATAGAAGAGTAAGAATAGAAAAATAGAATAGAATAGAAAATAGAATAGAGTATTGGAATATAGAATAGAATGCAGAATAGGATAGAATATGGAATCAAATCAAAATTCGAAAATGGGACAGGACAGAATAAAATAGAAAAATAGAACAGAACAGAAATCGAATGGGACCTTGGAGGTCTTCTAGTCCAGCCCTCTGCTCAAGCAGGAGAGCCTATATTAGAGGGACGACCTCTGCCTGCCTTTCTCTCCTACTTGGTATGGGGCTCTACCTCCCCCCCCCCCCACCCCTACCCCACCTTCTCCCCTAATTCCCAACCGTCCCTTTTTCAGGCTCAGCCACAGCGACAGCGACACGGACAACAGCGCTGACTCCTGCCTGCCGAGTCGAGATACGCCACCCCGGCAGAAAGGCCCCCCCGCTAACAATAAGGTCAGCGTCCTTCCGCTACGGAGACCGGCAGCCTCCAGGCCCGTGAACCAGCTCAGCCGTACCGGGCCCCTCTGCTGGAGCCACAGGGAGGGGGGTGGAGGGCGCGCGCACGCACACACACACACACACACACACAGGTGCGTTTCCAGAACCGAATTAATTTGGGAAGAGCGGGGTGGGGGGAATCCACTCTGTCACTCCCTGGAACCCGGGTCAGAGAAGAGCTATCCAGCCCAAAAGATTTTGGGGGGGGCTCTTCCCCAGCGAGAAATGGAACTGGACGACTCGCCGCGGCCATCTTGTCCTGGCTAACCCGGTCCGTCCATCTCGCCGTGGCGATCTTGGCCGTGGTCGACTCGCCGCTGGACCACTCCAGACACGGGAGAACTCAACGCGATAAATGCTACCTGTCCCTGTTTTCTTTCACCTACGATTCCCATTGACTAAAATCGAAATAAGATCAAAGAAACAGTGGCAGATGATCACCCAAGGCTTCCCCCCACCCCCCAAGAGGCCGCTGGACTGTCTAGTTGTGTTTTTTTTCTTTGAAGACGTTTCGCTTCTCCAAGAAGCTGCTTCTTCAACTCTGACTGGATGGCGGGGAAGGGAAGGCTTTATATTCCTTGAAGGAAGCTGGTCGTTTGCATCCTTTGTAGCGGGTCGTTGAGGCCACCTGGAGGTTTATCCGTGTCCTCGGGGTCACCTGATTGGTACTAATAGGGGTGGGGATTTTGGGGAACGGCTGAACAGACCGTGTTGTAGACCGGAGACAGGTGATGTCATCAACAGTTCCAAGAAGGCTCCACCCCCCCCCCATTTGCACCGCTCAGGTGACCCCGAGGACACGGGAAAACCCTCCAAGTGGCCTCAACCACTCTAAAAGGATGCAAACGACCAGCTTTATTCTACTAGGGGTATAAATCCTTCTGTCGTGGTTCCAAGTAACAGACCCAACGCAGGCAGAACTCTGGCCAAGCTGTTCCTCAAAGTCCAAATTTATTAGGCCCATCATATTGGCACGTCTCGTGAAAAACCCGACTCTTGTCACAGTTCTTCCCCCAGTCCACAGGTCTGTCACACGGTCCAATCCGGTCTCCATCCAGACTCCGGTTGGCTTCAGTCCAGGCCTCCCTGGCACCTGGTGAGAACGGCCTTGGTTCCCAGGAGAAAGGATATTATTTTGGCTACCCGTCCCCAGGAATGGAATAGAAAGAACAGAACAGAATTTAGAAGAGAAGAGAAGAGTAGAATGGAGAAGAGAAGAGAATAAGGAATGGAATAGAATAAGGAATAGAACAGAATTACAGAATAGAATAGAATGTAGAATAGAATATAGAAAATAGAATGGAATAAGGAA